TGATAATTAAGTCATTATTTAAACCATCATTTCATTCATAAATTTTGTACATAACTAATGCTTTTAGTGATCAAAACCATTCAAATGCTAAGCACCGGTATAAGCACTAGCGCTCAAAGCATTTTTTTGATCACATAATCGCACACTAATTATGGCATTGTTTTAGCGCTGTTTGAGGAAGGGTTCCACCAATTCTTTTGGTAGAGCCCAGGGTTCACAACGCTTTACACAATACACCACAAAACGTGGTTAATTACCGGATGAAACGTCGGCGCCTGCGGTATATTCATGGACGAGGGGTACTCCGAATGGCGGGGCACCAGAACTGGCGGCAAAACTACATTCACAAACATAACACAGTTAAAACATGATAATAATACATAATACACAGCACAAGTTTGACACATACCGGGACTCTCCACACGCTTGTAATGGTACGGATTAATGCACACCTCCTTCTGTTTGGCCGAAAAGGGATACTCGCAGTGCTCGAGGGGTTTGAGCTCGTGGTGAGACTGGAGGTCCGGCCACCGCCACACACGACAGTAGATCACGTGCGGCAAACCCTTGCGATGGGACACCTGTAGCCGGCCGTCCAGCGAACGCGGTATTGTCACGCACTTAGACTGCTGTCCGGGTTGGCTGAGCGCCCGTTCCAGCTCTTCCACCGCTCCCTTCTTCTTCTTCAACTTCTTCACGAGAGAGTCCACCGCTTTCTCCGCCCATTTCTCCTCTTCGTCGCCCTGTTTCCAGCCTATAGGGGGTGCGTCAGAGGTGGCACCGGAAGGGGGTTAGGGGTGGAAAGCAAGTATGCGTTAGTATTTCGATGATCACGTGTGGCCGGCACTCGTATGCCGGGTGTTTTACAGATACAAACACAACCGGTTGTAGTAAATGGGTTGCCAACGGGTGGGGGCGACGGGAGGGAGGGGTCAACACAGGGGGTGTCCTAAACAATGGTATTGTGTGCGACGGCATAACCGGATGGACATAATGGACATCATAACACATATAGGAAAGGGGTTGCCGTCGCTATCATGTGGTGGTAGAGTTTCAATGAGGGTTGTGTGGGGGCGGGGGAGGTGTGGGGGTAATGGGTGGCAAAACACGTGGTCATATTACCCAATAGTTTCTTAACGGCGGGCGATGTGAACGAAAACAACGAGTTTAATGTAGACATTGCTGAGAGAGTGTTGTTTGGGATGGTTTGTGTCGCTTAAGACATAGATTAGTGTCGCAACTGATCCGATGGTGTGGTTGTTGTCGCTTATAGTGAACGCGTGTGGCGTATAGTGTACTGATTGTGAGAGCAATTGTATTGTTTAGTGTTTTGATTTGAGTACACAATTGAAAAACACAACAAAAAGTGTCGACATTTTTATTACTGCTGTTTATATGACGCCAATACTGTGTCGCCAATCCGTCCACACAATGAATGCACGCATTTTTGTTGACTATTCAGCACTTGTATGTGCGGCGCGTTGTCTACAGAGTGCGCTCAATGACTGTACGCGTGGTATGCCGTGAATGTGACGGTATGTCTGTCGCTGTCTGTGTGTCTCGACTGCGCCAGTGTTAGCCCGCATTGCATCGCTGTCTGCAATGTGCGCCTACAGTCTACTCTAGCTATAAGTGTAAATCCATCGCATATTTTGTTAAGTTGGGACTTTTTATAGTTAAAACAAATACGTTAATTTAGTTAACTCATTGTTTCTAATGAGATTAAAGATTAAAAAGAAATATTATACTGTACAGTTAACATAAGCAACGTATATATTGATTTGTATAGCGATAGTAGACTGTAAATAAGTATATAATGTTCGCATTGTTACCTGATTGAGTGAAATGAAACTTTTTAGAATATTTAGACCTAAAATGCTTTATTACTTGGTCCCAGATTATTATTTATGAAATAAACGTATGCGAACTATAGTTTGGTCGTTTGTACGATTGTAATAATTCCAAAATAAAATGTTAAGCTAATTATAAGTTTATATTTTTAAACTTAACTCAAACGTCAAGTGCACCGATTCCTAAGCAAATTGCGCGAACACAGTATTATTATTTTGTATAAACATGCAATTGTATGAGTCATAAACTCGTGTTCTAATCCTGTATTGGAATAACTAGTGATTGTCTACAACTATATACCATAATCTGTACGACAACTGTTACCAAGGGTTTCACAAACACTGTGACAAAATTAAACATTTTCACTCATTACAAGCTCCCCATTGACCATAACATTGCTCAAACAGCTACCAAGATGAAACACCAATAAGTAAATAATCATCATTGTTAATTAAATTTTAGTATTTAGTAAAATTTATCAAATTCATTTAACTTAATGTACTTTAAAAACAAAATTTTAAGCAGACATTGAATATACCATTAATAAAATGACCGCATCATAACAGAGTACGTTATATACGAATGAGACACCAATAATAACAAACA